TCATTTATGACAACTCTGGGAATTTATAAGCCCAAGAATTTAGAGCAGAGAAAGATCTTTTTCCGTATATTATGGCACCTAGTGTATTAAAGCTCAGAAAATTCACTGCTAACTTAGCAACTAAAACTAACCATCAAACGAAGAGAGGAAAAATGTAGGTCATATCCCCTCCCTAAATAAGCCAAAGAGATCTCATGTTTTCAATGATCATCTGATATCAAAAATTTGTTTATCAAAGAAAATAACTTCTTGATGGCAATGGTCATACCTAACAAAAAGGAGAAAAAAATTATTAATGTTCTCATGGGTACTGTATGTACTATGTCTGAGCCCAAATAGGTTAAGATTTTTTCATTGAGACATAAATTAAAAACACAATGCTCATGATAAAAGAACACATACAGCAAAATAAAAGAGAAATTTTGCAAACAAAATACTGTATTTTCTTCAGTTCATTCTTCATAAACACTTTTTTGCCCCAAACAAAAAAAATAAAATGTGCTTTACAGAGATCCAGATAATACGACTAACACAAAATTTCTAATTCTCCGCTTCCTATGTCAGATCTAAGCTTCAATAAATTACACATTAGCAATTTTCTCAAGCAATCCTCTACCCAAAGCAATGAGGAAGGAACTATGAACTACTGTATGAACTACTGAACAACTGTGCTGGGCTACATACTTTAACAGGTCATCTCAATTAAACCCTCCAAAATAACTTTGAGAGCAGACTTTTTTTTTTCTTTTCTTGTACAGTATTTATCTCAGAGAGAAGCCATTATTATCCCTATTTTATAATTGAGGAAACGGAGAGAGACCTAATGATTTTCCCAAGAAAGAATATTTGAAGAAATAATGGTTGAAATGCCCCCAAACTTGATGAAAGACACGAATACACACACCCAAGATGCTCAACAAACTTCAAGAAGGATAAACTTGAGATTCACAAAGTCATGCAACATGCTACTGGGTGAGTCTAGTAGCTCAATGATGTATGTCATCAGGGACCTAGTCTTTTCATTCTGCCTTTCAAAGTGTCAGCTTCATCCTAAAACTGACTTCTTTCCTGCTGGAGGCTTTCAGCAGCAACTGAGGCTACATGCTTCCTTATTCCCGCAGCTCTCTCAAGAGTGAGAAGCCTTCTTTCCCAGAAGGTCCCATAAAGTCTATCCTCAATT